GAAGAGAAGAGAAGAAGAAGAAGAAGAAGAAGAAGAAGAAGAAGAAAGAAGAAGAAGAAAGAAGAAAGAAGAAGAAGAGAAGAAGAAGAAGAAGAAAGAAGAGAAGAAGAAAAGAAGAAGAAGAAGAAGAAGAAGAAGAAAGAAGAAGAAGCGAAGAAGAAGAAGAAGAAGAAGAAGAAGAAGAGAAGAAGAAGAAGAAGAAGAAGAAGAAGAAAGAAGAAGAAGAGAAGAAGAAGAAGAAGAAGAAGAAGAAGAAGAAGAAGAAGAAGAAGAAGAAGAAGAAGAAGAAGAAGAAGAAGCCGACTCCGAGCTGTCCGACTTCAGGCGAGCTTTTTGAGACCTCCCCCGGCTGCGATCGGCTATTCTCGTCTACTTTCGAGGCGAGCCGCAGCTCGTCTCAAACAAGCCTTATGCCAATGGCATGCGTTGCCATGGAAATGCCTTCTGACCTGACTGTGGTCATGTGACTCACCGACCACATCCCAAATGTGAACCATTCTACATTTCGCTATCCAGATAATACTCTACATTTTACAATTGTCTAATTACACTCAAATTTACAAAATCATAAATTGATAAGAAATGCACACAAATGAACATCCAAATATAAACATTTCTCAGACCGTTACAGGCAGTTTCTGCATTTTATGTTACCTTGTAACATATTACAGGTAAACAGTAGTCACCACATTACACTAACACCACAACATCTACTATATTACTGAAATCAATCAAAGGTTCTCAATTTGAAATTGAGAGCACTGTACAGCACAGAAAACATATGGTTTACACCCTCCAACCTTTCCCCTATATTTCTAGCCCATTTAATATATGCATGGATGCAATCCAAAATAAGCAATTTATAGGACCGAAGAAAATTAAAGAACATGCCAAAATGCTCTGATCTAATGTTTAAAGCACTTTTTTTTCTTCGAAGGTCCTGCTCTCTATGCATACAACAATGCAGGCCTTCACTGATGAGGACTGGGAGGGAATTCAGATGGCAGGGAGGAGTGTGGAAAGCCGCAATGACCCCAAACAAAGTTGGGAGGTTGGAATCCGGCTTCAACTCTGTTTACCACATAACAGGTAAAACTACATAAAGATACAGATGTACAACCCGATTGTCTCAGTTTAAGTTTAGTTCTTAAAGAAAATGCAGTTACTAAATATGACAATGTTGATCCACTTTCTTCACAGATGTGCCCAGTATATTCAGTTCAGATCACCTCGGCATGATGGACCCCCCCAGGAAAAAATATTTGGACAAAGAAATAGCGGGTTTTTGTGGTCTTTGGATGATGCAAAAACACCAGAAAGCTCTAATAGAGATGCATGACCAGTTCCAACCTTTTCGAGATATAGTTTCATTTGTTGGCAGAAAAGACATGGTCAACAGTCATCAACGAGGATCAACACTTTGACGGGACAATTTTCAGGTTCCCTTTGCGCAAAGAGGCATCAGATATTTCAGATAATCTCTATGACTCTGACAGGGTGGTTGAGCTTTTTGATAGCTTCATTGCGGATGCAGATTTAAATCTCCTGTTCCTTGAAAAATGTGACCTCTGTTTCCTTGAAACATATCAACATCTATGGCCGCCGTTAAAACCAGACTTGAATAGTGAAATCCTCAATCTCCACAGATGTCGTTCTGGAGTCAGAAGACGATTCAATCATTGAGAGTTCAACAAGATTCAAAGTAATAACCCTCAACTCAGAAGACCACAAAGAAACAAAATGGCTTTTAACAACATGTACCATGAAAGAAGGAAATGTAGAACATCTTGATTCACTTGCGAAAAAGTTGAGCTTTTTCCCTCAGTTGACTTGGCATTCCCTTGTGGTGAGAAGAGAGACAGTAGTGAGAGCAGATTGAGCTGCTTTCTCCCCCTACCAAACAATGAATCCAATAACACCGGACTCCCAGTTTATATCAACGCGTGCTTTGGCCTCACAGACAACAGAAGAGAGATCAAGTGGCAAGAGGAAGACCAGCAACATGACGAACATGCTGTGTGGAATGAATTGCTGATGAAGGAGGTGCTACCACAGGCATACATCATGATCATTCAAGATGCTATCAACCTTGCACAACAAGATAATCTGCCTGTCTCTTCAGTGTACGATCTGTGGCCAGATATTGCCCAGATAAAGCACAAACGCAAATGGTATGCCGTTGCTCTGGATGTTCTTGATCACTTATTCAGGCAGAATGTGGCTGTCCTCTCTCTTGCCAAAGATGAAAGAGAGTTTATCACTCCATCAGAAGCTGTGTTCCCCTGTAATGGTGCAACAAGCAGTGACATATTGGCTGCAATTAAAAGGACTTTGGTTTCCTGTGGAGAGAATCTTGTCACCATTACCAGGTAGTGTTGCCAAGCGCTATAAATGAGGCCTATCCACACCTAGACACCCTAACAACACGTGACTCCAGCTTTCATAAGGGGCTCGCTCCGCAGGATTGACGTGCACACTATCTCTAAACATGACAAACTCTGCCTTTTGGAGTTCATTTAAGTGATGGAAAATACAGAGAACTGGAAGGTCTTCAGCCTGCTTCCCGCTCGACGATGGCTCCTTCAGATCGTTCACAGACAGAGAGGAGGACACTGCTTTGATTGACAGCCAATACATTTCCAAGGTAGGTTTATTTCTTTTTAGATGTTTTTTCTCTTTTATTTACTACTACATCTATACTAAGTTTAAATGTTGCCCAAATCCAATCTTAGAATAAGTACAGATTGGTTAAAAACAATACAATTGTATTTATTGGAAAATATATTTAATGCATCTCAACTTAAATGATATACAAATGTCTTTGTTTTTGTTACATGCCGATTCAACAAATGTATCTTTTGTCCAGAGTCTTGCTACCATTCTGCAAACACCTCTTCATCCCCAATGATCTCCGTCCAGCCTGCAGTGCCCACCTAAAAGAACTGGCCAGAGAAAGTAAGATAAATCATTTTATAGTATAGCGATTTAAAAATGCATAACATCTGTCATATGTATGTATTCACTCACTAATGAATGTTTTTAAACAAATGTTCCAGATATTTTCAAGGTCATCAACATTGACGCAAAACGGGTGGCTGAATATACAAGAGGTTTTTGCCACAGGACTGGAAGCAGATGAGCAAGGGGCATGTTACCTGGGATGTCAGCAGCAATCAACATCCACCTTTAGAGTGGCTCCAAGAGTTCTGGACATTTCTCAACACTCACTTCAAAGAGTTAAGTCATTTCATTGGATTGCCATTGATACCAGTCAGTCCCCTGTCAGTCAGTCAGCCAGTATCACTAGCTACACTAGAGCAGAAGACAACCTTAATTTTTCAGAAAAGAAAGCAGATGATCTTGCCAGAAAAAATAACTGAGTTGGTGAACAAACTTGGTGGCACAGCGGTAAGAGAAAACGACTGGCTCAAACACGAAGACCTTGACTCATATGTGCTTTGCCCATCTCCAATGAGTGTCATGAAAGTATTGGTGAACCTAGATTCTCAGAATCTCATCAGAGATCTCAAAACTGCCTCTCACGGAGCACGAGAAGAACTGAAAGATTATCTCTCTCGTCTTGATTGTCTCTCAGTTACTGAGAAAGATGTACTCTCAAAGTTGCCTCTGTTTCAAACCATGAATGGATCATGTGCTGCAGCTCAATCAAAACAGGCTGTGCTTCTGATGTCTGGTCTAAAGGTACCAACAGATTTCCCTATGCCTGATTCAGTTGTGCGGTGTGCAACTGAGGCTGATCGCAGTCTGTTACAGCTGCTCAAGTTAAACTTTTGGACACTGCTGAAGCAGCTCATCTCCTTATTGGCTGTATTGAGAGCAGGGCTTGCAGAAGAGAAGACACTGAGAAAATCATGACTTGGATTTTACAGAATGGAGCTATCCTTTTCTCTCAAAATGAGACCTTGAAACACAGATGTAAGGATTTGAGCTTCATTGAAGTGAATGGAGAACTGAAAAAACCCTCAGCCTTTTTTGATCCAAGAATTAAACCTTTTAAAGTGATCTTTGAGTCAGATTTCTTCCCTCCACCTCTATACACTGGCACATCGCAGATGCTTCAAAGCCTAACGGATCTTGGCTTACTAAACAAAGAAGTAGATGTGTCACCGGAGCACTTCTTGCATGCTGCCCACACTGATTGACAAAGCGCATGTTGACTCTCAAACTGAGGCTCTTAATAGAGCTCAGGTGCTCTTGAAGATGTTGGATACTAATGATCTGTTTAAGTTTTCTCCTGAGCAGCCTCATCGCATCAACATGCTGAAATGGATCCCATGTACTAAGCCTGGTAATGATAAAACGTACGGCAATGACACATCTCAGAGAAGTTGTTTCTTCTGCCCTGATGAAACAAGACATTCTGATTATGAGGACATTGTTGAGCATGTAATGCCTCTGGGTACTTTCAGTGACAGAGTTAGCAGCCAACTTGGTCTCAAACGCCTACCCCCACCTGAAAAAGTGATAGAGAATTTGTCTGCTCTGACATCAAAAGCACAGAAAATGACTGATCCTAACACAAATGTGGATTTTAAAAGAAAGCTGCATAGCATTTACAAACACATGCAAGACCACATAAATGAATTTGCAAGGAAGATGAAAAAGGATACACACTGGCTGTGGAGCCACGACCAGTTTGTATCACCACAGGATCTGGTTCTAGACTACCCACGAAATCTTGATCTGAGTTCTTATATTAGGAAGGTTCCAAATGAATTTTTGCCATACAAGAAGTTGCTTCAGGAGTTTGGACTAAAAACATTGCTTTCAGATCAAGAAATTGTTGGCATTCTCCATTCTATCCAGAAAACCATTGAAGAAAACCCAACAGCCTTTTGCAAGTTCCTCTGAGGTAAAAGTGTCAATAGAGATTCTTAAGTGGCTGTGGAAAGAGAAGAAGACGGTTCAGGATGACATCCCAGTGCCAGTTCTCATTCAGGGTGAACAACATACCCTTAAACCACTGTCAACAGCAGTCTTCTGTGATGTGAGCAAAAATGGGTTGAATGAGATCAAGTACAGCCAGGAGGAAGTTCATGTTGTACATGAAGATATCACAAAAGCAGCTGCTGAATGGTTTAACATCCGATTTCTTAGTACCTACATTCTCGATCCAGAGTTAGTGGGAATAGAACAGTTTTGGACAATCTGAACCGATAACGACGAGGATTAAGAACATCCTTAAGGAGTATGATGAAGAAAGAGACCTCTTCAAAGAGATCATTCAAAATGCAGAGGATGCTGGGGCAGAAGCCTGCAAGTTCTTGGTGGATTTACGAGTGCACAAAGACTCCCCTGAAAGTCTCATTGACCCTGGCATGGCCCTTTGTCAGGGACCTTGCCTTTGGGCATTTAATAATGAGCAATTCACAGCTGAGGATTGGAATAATATTGTCAGAGTTGGCTCTGCCTCAAAAGAAAACAAAGTGGAAAAAATTGGAAAGTTTGGACTTGGATTTAATACTGTGTATCATGTAACAGATGTTCCTTCTATCCTGAGTGGCAACAGTCTTCTCATACTTGATCCAAATGTAACCCACCTCACGAAACACATCAAACATAAAACAAATCCCTGGACTCAAGCTGGATCTCTCAAAGCAACATCTTTTCCATTGCTTTCCTGGTCAGTTTGGACCATATGAACGCATTTTTGATTGCAATTTCAGAAGCCAAAGTCCCCCTGAACCATATCCAGGTACTCTGATCAAACTACCTTTTCGAACTGAAGAAGAGGCTATCATGTCAGAAATAAGTGAAAAAGTGTTTAACAAACAACAAATCATCACTTTTCAACAGCACTTTACAAACAATTCACAAACGCACCTGCTGTTTTTGAAGAACATCAATATGTTATCTTTACAAAGTATCTCAAACAAAGCATCAACCCCGCCAAGAGATAACGAAATAGAAACAGTCTTCAATGTCTCCAAAACCACTGAGAGTACAATGAGGATTCCTGATGAATCAAGCGTGTCCAAGCAGCAGCAAGCTGAGAAAGCATTAATGAAACTTGATGGGAAATGCAAAGAGGTCATTGACTGCTGCACAGTCAACATTGTCCAAATAACTAGTCAGCAATCTGGTGAAACTGAAGTCCAGTCCTGGCTCCTTTACAACTGCTTTGGGACACATAAGTCCTTGCAAATGGCCCTTCAAGAAAACAAGCAAGCCAAGTTCTCTTTGCCCATCGGGGGGATTGCTGTGCCTTTGCAAAAGAATCCAGGAACTGGGAAGCTGGCCCCACTACAAACAGATCTTGTAGGACAGGCATTTTGCTTCCTTCCTCTGTCCATTCACACTGGTCTTCCAGTCAATGTAAATGGAACATTTGCTGTGACAAGCAACCGCAAAGGTCTGTGGGAGAGTGGTGTGAAACATGAGTGGAACAAAGCCCTTCTTGAGGATCCTGTCGTGACAGCATATATTTCGGCACTTTCGGCACTAAAAAAAAAGTCTGAAAACAAGCAACTGGAAACATATTGTTATCATACCTTTTGGCCTGACAGAGAGAAAGTGAGTGATACTTTCAAGCCCTTGGTTGATGCATTGTACTCCGCCATAGCTCAGCCTTCCATTGGCCCAGAGCTCTTCAGTGATGGAGAACATTGGTGCTCAATGAACAGTGCCATATTTCTACACAAGAGTATTGAAGAGGATAAAGACATCAGTGAACTTGCAGTGCAAGTGTGCAAGACGCATGTCAAAGCACCCAACCATGTTGTTTCTCTTCCCCTGTGGTTGAGAAATAGCTTCAAACGGTCTGGCCTAGAGAAGGCCTTGCAGAATAGAACATGGAACTGGGACACGTTTTACCAAGAGGCTGTGTTCAACAACCTTGACACCATGGACCCTAAGAGTAGAGATACTCTTGTGCTGCATGCGATCGACCTTAATATCAAAGAACTTGACAAACTTCTGGTCTGCTATCCATGCATCCCCACAATAGGCGGACAGCTCCAGCATATCAGGAAACTAGTGAATCCATCAGGCAAAGTGGCCTGTCTCTTTCAACCAGAAGAAGGACGCTTACTCGGTGGTACCAAACATGACTTTTGCTCCCCCAAAAGGATTAAACGCTTGTTGGAACTTGGAATGACAAATGATCAGCTCCCATTGGAAGAAATCACAGAGAAAGCACGCACAATTCCCAGGACCTGGAGCTTTGACAAAAAGAAAGCGTGTGGTCATTTAAATTGCCTGCTTGAACTTATGAAGAATCACATGAGTGATGAAGGCTCTCTCCACTGGGAAACACTGAGGATGACTGAATTTCTCCCAGCATTTTCCCCCGGTGATACAAAAATGGAAAGAAATGTCACATTTAGAAGGCCAACAGATATTTTTGGTGAAAAATGCTCCCCACTTGTTAACATGACACAACACGTGCTGGATCATACCAATCTCAAAATATACAACACTGATCCACTCCTGCACATTTTGGGAGTTCAAGTCAATCCAGGGCCTGACAAAGTGCTTCGACAACTGAAAGAAGCATGTGAGCAATCTCAATCTATTGATACATCCATGCTTCACAAAATAGCATATGAATGCTATAAGTTTCTTGATCAGGAGCTCAGTGATTTGGTGGATTCCACTTTCATTTCACAGTGGGCAAATTCATTCCCGTTCATTCTTGTTGGCAGTACATTTATAAATGTAAACTGCATTGCGGAAAGTGAGCAATTTGAAGCAAAACCCTATCTCTATGTACTTCCAACTGCCTTTAAGGGTTTTGGGAGGCTCTGGGAAAATGTAGGAGTTGAAAAATCATTTACAACCAGTCAGCGTCTAACTGTGCTGCAGGAAATACACTCTCAACATGGCAACAAGACCCTGCCAAAGGAAGACCTTTTGATGTGTCTCACAATTCTCAGAGGAATATATGAGGCCAAAGATGAAACAAACAACTGTCTGATACCCAATGAACATAATGTTCTACAACCTGCAAGTGAGATGTTTTACAATGACAGCCCATGGATGGCAGTCGGTCCAGATGTGACATTATGTCACAAGGATATCCAACGTGCTATGGCTTGTCACTTTGGAATCAAAACAACAAGGCATCATACCCTGCAAAACTATACAGTTGAGAACATTTCACCATTTACTTTTCATTTTGAACAGCAGGAAAAATTGACTGTTCGAATTAAAAACATAATTTCAGCCTATCCATCAAAGAAAGATATCCTTAAAGAGCTTATCCAAAATGCTGATGATGCAGAGGCAACCGAAATTCACTTTGTTTGGGACAAACGACAGCATGGCACAGAAAAAACATTTGGAGAGAAATGGAACGAACTGCAGGGTCCAGCACTGTGTGTTTTCAACAACAAAGTGTTTTCTGATGATGACCTGAAGGGCATTCAACAGCTGGGAGAAGGAGGAAAGCGCAACTCTCCAGGGAAGACAGGGAAATACGGAGTAGGATTCAACTCTGTTTACCATCTGACTGACTGCCCCTCCATCCTCACTGGAGATAAACTACTCTGCATTTCTGATCCCAATCAAAAATTCATTGATGGTCATTCAGACAAACCACCAGCTGGCACTGGCTATAAACTAGCTGACACTTTTAAGAACATGTACATGGATGTCTACAAATCCTTTCTTCCAGACGAATTTCCCCTTAAAGATGGCACCATGTTCAGATTACCCTTAAGGATCGGTACCATGGCAAACAGCTCTAAAATATCACTGCAGGAAGTCACAGACCATGACATGAACGAACTTTGCTCTGCACTCTCTGAAGATCCTGAAGGACTGATTCTGTTTCTGAAAAACATCTGCAAAATAGAGGTCCATGAAATCAATGAACATTCAGGGAAACTCGAAACAATCTTTATGGTTGAAAAACGCCTACCACAGGAAAGCAGAGAAAGTAAAGATGCTTTTGTTAAGCTTGAACAAAATGCGCTGCAATCTGACAAACCAATCACGCCAGACAAGGCTATATACAGTGCACTCATTTCAACCTCTGATAAAAGACAAAGTAAATGGATCATTGCAGAACAGTTTGGGACATTCAAAAACAGTGGCAAAGGAGACCAAACACTTCCAAAAAAACTTCCTCAAGCAGCAATAGCGGCGCTTGTGAGCCCAAAGTTCTCTGTTGAAGCCCCACCTAGCAACATGTGTTTTATTGGACAAGCCTTTTGTTCACTTCCTTTGCCAGGAACAACTGGACTGCCAGTGCATGTCAACGCAAACTTTGAGGTAGATTCTGCCAGGAGAGGCCTTTGGATAGAAGATGGGCAAAGTCTAAAATCTAACTGGAATGAATCTTTGAAACAGAATGTCATTGCTCCACTTTATGCTGATCTCCTTCAGCACATCTGCCACCACTTTGCAAAAAAGAATACCACTTGTGCAAGTTTTGAGTCATTCTACTTGTGTTTTTGGCCAACTGTGTCCAAACATGTTGACCAGGATTGGCATGAAATGATACATGAGGTGTACAGATCAATCAAAGAAAAAGGTCTTGATGTGATTCCAGTTTTGAGGAGTTCAACACGCAAAGTTGCAGGCCAAGAATTGAAGACATATTCTTTTGACTGGTGTAATGTCAGAGAAAATGAAACCACTAAGGCACCTTATCTCACACACTGGGAAACAGACAGGATAATGCCAATATTGGAAGATCTTGGAATGACATTGGTACCTTCTATCATGCTAAATGTTTGGGAAAGTTTCAGATCCGCAGACATTGCAGTAAGAGATGTGAATCCTTCAAGTGTGCAGACTTTCCTGAGAGAAATACCCGTCAATGACCCGACCAAAACAGACAAGGATTTACCACTGCCCATAACTGCCACCTTGATCAGAGATGGAAAAAGATGTTCTGAGCTCTTGAGTTTCTGCTTAAAAGACTTTAAAAAGACAGCAAAAGACAACTCCATTACACTCAATGGACTTCCACTTCTTCTCACAAGTGATAAAGTTTTGAGAGTGTTTGACTCCAAATCTCCCAAGCTGATATCGAGTTATGAGAGTCTGTTCTTTGCCTACAAAGAACACTTTGCAGACTTTCAGACAAACAGAAAGAACATTGATGCTCTACAAACTTTAAACCTTGTCGAAAGATTGACAGTTCCCTGTGCAGCAAAATATCTGAAGCCGTTAATTCAGCAACTTCTTCAGAGCTGTGAAGTTGATCCACAAAGTGGTCTTCATGTCCCAAATGAGAGAGTGTTGATGTGGTTGAAATCACTTTGGAAGTTCTTAACGAGTGAAATTAAACCTGCAACATCTAATGGTGATGAAGAAAGCCTGACATTAAGTGATGTCAGGCAGCTCTTCAGCGACTGCTGCATTTTACCTGTTGTGTGTCCAAGGTTGAACAACAAACACTTCCTGAAAACAATGAAAGACATGCCGAGTGTGCTTAAGAGCACCTCTGGAGAGGACATATCAGGCATCCTTTTTAAACTTGGTTTTATGAAGCTTGAAAGTACATTTGTCTCTGAGATGCCTGTAGAACAACGTTTACTTCTTCACTCTGAACTTATGGATGTGAATGATAAAAGCTCTGTGTTGGAGCAGCTCTACAACATAAACCACTCAGAGTTTTCCCAGCTTTCAAATCATGAGTTGAAAGAGCTTCAGTGTGACCTGCAGTCTGGAGTATCCAAGTCCAAAGACAAACAAGGATATCAAAGAAAGCTAAAATCGTTGCCAATATTTGAAACAATACATGGTGAACGAGTAAGGATTGATGGACCTAAAGAGGTATTTATCCTCAACAGCACATATTCAAAGGCATTTCCGGATTTGTTCTCCCTATCTGACAGCAACAGCATTTTTCTCCAACACAGTCATGCAAACATCAGTCTGTCATACACATTGAAAATCCAAACCATGAATGATTTGGACTATTTCATGAAGTTTATTCTGCCTGTTGTACACACACTCACTGAAATGCAGAAGCTTCACTGCCTCAAACTCTTACTGACATCAGAATTCATTCATTGTAAGTGTAGGGAAACAATCATCTCCTCAATGAAGGCAGTGCAATTGATTGCCAATTCTCAAGGCACATTGGAGAAGGCATCATACTTCTTTGATAAGAGTGTTGGGCTGTACAAAAAAATGTTGCCCAAAGAGAGGTTTGTACCTGAGAGATTTTGGACTGAGTTGTGTGAAGGGCTTTTTCTACCAGACCCAAAGAAGTTACTAAGAGACCTTGGAATGAAGCATGTTGTTTCAAAAGATGACATAATTCACTTTGCACACCAGTTAGAATCAGAAGCAAAAGGAAATGGTGACCTTAAAGATTTGGAACCAAAATCATCCTTAATATTCAAAGCCGCCTTGAATATACAGATTAAGGACAAGCACGAAAAGGAAATGTTTCTGGAGGAAATGGCTGACATCAAGTTCATTTTTCCTGTGAAAATTGAAAAAGAACTGCAAAACTACCACCAACCATTTGCGGCTGAGAGAACTGCTGTTACAATCAGGGGGTCTTTGATAGACACTGAAGCTAAGCATCAAGAACTGGTTTGGTCCTCAATGCCAATTATACATCTACCTGTTTATAAGTCAGAGGAAGTCCTGGAAAAGATGAATAAAGCTGGAGCTCATGAACAACCACCGCCAAACTGTGTGACAAGTAACATGAGAAACATCTGTCAGTCGCCCTGTATAGATCAAAAGTTGATCCAAACCCGTGCTGAGGTTTTTCGAAGTGCATATGAATACCTGCAAGTAAACACGTTTGAAGTCCAAACATTGGCTGGTCTTCCTGTGGTTTTGGTTGAAAAAGACAAGGGACTTGCAAAGCCTGATGATACTTCTTTTTCACTCCCGCACGAGCACGAGTTCAGACCGTATTTGTACAAAATTTCTCCGAACGATGTCATGTTTTCAAAGTTCTTCAAGCTAATTGGTGTTAAGGACACACCTACAGCAGTGCAGTATTGTAATGTTCTGGCAGCAGTTTATGCTGATTCCTGCGAGAAACCCAATCTTAACCCAAACCAACTGAAAACTGTGAAACGTGCTGTTGAGCAGTTTTTCCTGTTAATCAAAACTAAAGAAAACCAGTCCCTTGTTGATGATTCAATGACTTTGTATCTTCCTGCAGTAGATGGTAAAGTATACCCATCCTGCAAACTCTACTACAATGATACAGTGTTTGAGAGCAAAAGGTTGGAAAAAGCGCTTGAGAATAAGTTTCTTTTGCTTGAGAAACTAAGTGAGTGTCACTTAGGCGAAGACATGTATGAGCATCACCGATTGCTGCAATTTCTGCCTCAAACCTTTAAGCCTAATATGCTGTCTCAATTCACTGAGGAGAAAGTAGTGGAATCAGACATGCAGCTTTGTGAGCTTGGTGCTGACTGTGAATTTAGTGGATGGTTTGAAAGTCATTTGTCCTCAGAAGCATTTATACATGGACTCATTTGTCTTATCAGAGACCAGTCCAAGGGGGAAATAACACAAGAAGATGCTACTGAGATGTGCAAGAAGACTTTTGGCAGCATTCAGATTGTCTGCTGCAATAGTCTAAAAACTGAGCTTTGGGTGAATCAACAGCCACTACACCAGACTGCCTCTCAAACCGATGTTTTTGTCAAACAAGAGCAACAAGGTTGCATATTTTACTTGAAACACAACAACGACATAATTCCTAGGGTCTTAAGTGACATCAATATGACATTGACAAAGGAGATTAATGCTCTTTTAGGTAACACATTTGGATCGAAACACCTTCTGGTCCTCGTACACCTTCTCATGTGTAACAATATGCAAGATGTTCTGAAAACTCTTGCTAAGAATGGGATCCATGACAGTGCTGAAACTCAAAGCATTTTCCGCAATCCACCAGCCCCTGGAACAGAAATCCCAGTGGAATGGCATGATTCCTTAGACATGAACATCCTCAATAACTTTGAAGAGGGCGAATATGTTGGCTACAGCACCAACAACAAGTATATCTATGCAGTTATTGTTGAAGAACTGCCTGGGCAGTCGGGACCATATTCACACAGATACAAAATAGAAATTGGAGAAGATGAGCCCATTGAAGTCAGTTGTCTGGACCTGTATCAGTTTAAACGACAAAAGAAACCAGAACCTAAAGGAAGTTCTGCTGCTTCTACATCTGCTGATACTTCTTGCATGGACATGGTGCCACTAGAAGGAGCTGTGCCACATTCTTCCAAACCATCAAGTACAAGTTCCTCTTCTACGAGATCCTCACCAGCCTCTCTTGAAGAAGCTAAAATGGAAATTGACAAATGTCTAAAAGAGATTTGGACTCTTCCTGAGGAGGAAAAGCATAAAGCCATCAAACGACTTTACCTTAGATGGCATCCTGACAAAAACCTTGACTGCATACCTCTTGCCACTGAGGCATTCAAATACCTGCAGAATCAAATTGCTGAGCTCAGCAAAGGGAAGGGCAAAGGCACAAATACAGGCTCATCTTATTCAAGCGGAAGATCAGACTTCAGGAACTTCTATGATGAATGGAATCAGGAGGCCAGGCATCACAGAAATGCTAGGGACGGATTCTCCAGAAGCAACCGTTCCTACAATTTTTGGACACATAATAAAAATGTCCCAAGGCCAAACAAAGAAGAGGCCCAACGCTGGAGAAGACAAGCTCGCTGTGATCTCGACGCAGCCTACAAAGACGTTAGTGGGGCGAGCACAGAGTGGTGTCTGTTCAAAGTCCATCAAGCAGTGGAAAAGTCTCTCACAGCTGCAAAGTATAAGAGAGATGGTCAGCATCCCACCAGCAGCTCCATTGTATCCCTTGCAGCACAAGTTTCCCTCTACAACCTCAAACTGAGAGTTCTTCCTCAAATAGTGAGGAATCTGAAGGCGTTGGGAGTGGACGACAAAAAGACTCAGTATCCAAACTGCCATCCATTTCCCCATATTCCAAATGAGCAGTTCAAACCAGAGAATGAGTTGTTGGCACTGAAGAGCGCATCTGAGCTTCTGAGTTTAGTCGAGGAATATGTAAATTAGGGATTCAAGACAAACTGACACGTCATGTTGGTAGAGTCAATTTAGGTTTGTTCGGCATGTAAAATGGCATTAGCCATATTCTTATATTAAAACATTACTCTGAAGAAAATAATAGTTCCATTTGTTAAAAAAAAACATATCAGTCAAAATGCTGACATAAAATGTGTGTGTAATGTAGGGACTTACTGAAGCCAATGAAAGGCCATTGTAATGGGAATGTAAATATGATATTTTGAGTATTGTTGAAGAGTTTTGACTACTCACTCAGGACCCATAGGCCCTCTATTATTTTGTTATGGAAATGAAACAAAATAAGTTATATTTATGCAAAGTTATCGTTTATGACCACTCACTTGGGATCACTTTAAACTCTGTATTACTTTATTTTTTATTATTGTTCTACAAATGTACAACTACTCAAAGTGAGGACCAATTTATTGTCTGTATGACTTTTTATGAAAATATCAAGATGTTCTTTGAAATGTTGTAAACGGTTAAAACTCACTGAGGTCCAATATAATATCTGTATGACTTTTCTTTTTACTATATTATCATTTATACCTATCCATTAGGCGCAATATAATCTCTGTTTTACTTATATATTATTACTTTATTTTAAATACTTTCTAAAAATGCAATTATAATTATTTTTTGTTCATCATTGTTATAAACATTTACAATTTCTAACTGTGATGACCAATATAATATATGTATGACTGTTATAAAAATATCAATATATTTTTTTGCATGTTGTTAACCTTTACACTGCGGACCAAAATGATCTCTGTATGACTTGTTCCTCAAAGTTTTCTAAACACTGAGTTATCAATAAGTCAAAGAAACAATGGCATAACCAGAAATATATTAATTATTGAATGTGATGTTATGTTCTGTTATCATTTATTACTACTTACTCATAATCAATATAATCCCTGTACCACTTTTTTTGGAAAGTACAAATGCCACATTGAGTTTCTGAAGCCAATGAAAGACCATTGTAATGGGAATGTGAATATGATATTTTGAGTATTGTTGAAGAGTTTTGACTACTCACTCAGGACCCATAGGCCCTCTATGATTTTGTTATGGAAATAAAACAAAGGAAGTTATATTTATGCAAAGTTATCGTTTATGACCACTCACTTGGGATCACTTTAAACTCTGTATTACTTTATTTTTTATTATTGTTCTACAAATGTACAACTACTCAAAGTGAGGACCAATTTATTGTCTGTATGACTTTTTATGAAAATATCAAGATGTTCTTTGAAATGTTGTAAATGGTTAAAACTCACTGAGGTCCAATATAATATCTGTATGACTTTTCTTTTTACTATATTATCATTTATACCTATCCATTAGGCCCAATATAATCTCTGTTTTACTTTATATTATTACTTTATTTTAAATACTTTCTAAAAATGCAATTATAATTATTTTTTGATCATCATTGTTATAAACATTTACAATTTCTAACTGTGACGACCAATATAATATATGTATGACTGTTATAAAAATATCAATATATTTTTTTGCATGTTGTTAACCTTTACACTGCGGACCAAAATGATCTCTGTATGACTTGTTCCTCAAAGTTTTCTAAACACTGAGTTATCAATAAGTCAAAGAAACAATGGCATAACCAGAAATATATTAATTATTGAATGTGATGTTATGTTCTGTTATCATTTATTACTACTTACTCATAATCAATATAATCCCTGTACCACTTTTTTTGGAAAGTACAAATGCCACATTGAGTTTCTGAAGCCAATGAAAGACCATTGTAATGGGAATGTAAATATGATATTTTGAGTATTGTTGAAGAGTTTTGACTACTCACTCAGGACCCATAGGCCCTCTATGATTTTGTTATGGAAATAAAACAAAGGAAGTTATATTTATGCAAAGTTATTGTTTATGACCACTCACTTGGGATCACTTTAAACTCTGTATTACTTTATTTTAATTTTTTATTATTGTTCTACAAATGTACAACTACTCAAAGTGAGGACCAATTTATTGTCTGTATGACTTTTTTATGAAAATATCAAGATTTCTTTTGAAATGTTGTAAATGATTCAAACTGTCTGAGGTCCAATATAATATCTGTATGACTTTTCTTTTTACTATATTATCATTTATACATATGCATTAGGTCCAATATAATCTCTGTTTTACTTATATATTATTACTTTATTTTAAATACTTTTTTTGGTTCAGTATTGTTATAAACATTTACAATTTCTAACTGTGACGACCAATATAATACATGTATGACTGTTGTAAAAATATCAAGATATTTTTTTGCATCTTGTTAACCTTTATACTGCGGACCAAAATGATCGTTGTATGACTTGTTCCTCAGTTTTCTAGACACTGAGTTTCATTGAGTTATCAATAAGTCAAAGAAACAATGGCATAACCAGAAATATATTAATGATTGAATGTGATGTTCTGTTATCATTTATTACTACTTACTCAGGATCAATATAATCCCTGTTCCACTTTTTTTGGAAAGTACAAATGCCACATTGAGTTTCTTCACTATTACACTTTTTTGTCTGAACTTTTTACATCGATTAAAAAATGAAAATAAAGCAATTCAATCAAGGATTAAACGGCATGTCTTTTGTGATTTTTGTTAAAAATACCATAGTAAATGTGTCCAGGGCTAGACACTATCACTCAAACCTGTGAGTTGTTCTACCTCTGTCCTTTTCTATTATCTATATTAGCACTCCCTGGAAAAGGATAATCAGTTAGTTCTCTTTTATTGGGTTGCCACACCTGTTGCTTGAGGGAGATTTATGCAATACTGTCAATAATAAAAGATAAGATTAAATATGTAGGCTAGAGGTTCAGAAATGTTCAGTCATATGGCACCTTTAAAAGTTGCTTTACTGTTGCAACACTAGTCATTAAAAAGGGGGTACAAAGTGTTCAAAAGCACACTTGGTAAACCTATGCTGATGATATAAATGTGTTCTTGTCTGATTAGATCTCTTCCAAGATCTGCAAGGGTTTTAACAGAATGTTTTTGATTAAATTGTTAGCTTTGTTGTACCTTGTAGGGTAAACTGATAATACCCAATCAAAATGTTCAGCTCGGTCGGGAATCGATGGCTATTACTTTTCTCATTCATAACTTTCATAATTCCAGAGATACATCCCATAATACATCACATTTTTAACATGGAAGTCAATGGAGAAATTCTTCAGACTTCAACAAATCTTCATGCGACTTCAACTGCTAACCTCTTAAGGACGACGGTCCCCCCATTGGACTCCTCCCACCGTTTTTTTTTTTAGACAATGTCTCAGGGCTTCTTAACATTTATGAAACTATTAATGTGTAGCACTAGATTAACGGGAAGAATCTCAGCTAACTGAAGATATGAACAATTTTTACCAAAACAAAACACAAGTCTCAAAAGAAGCGTCTAAATGACCCCTGAGCGAAAAAATGCAAACTGACTTTGGCACACAATTCAAGATAAAGATACCCTTATTACTTATCGTAGCTGCACATACAATATATCCGATTAAAGCTGAGACTCCACAGATTATTTAGGTATAGTATCATCACTGAGCGATCCAAACTTGCAACAGGGGAAGCAAACACAGACATCACAACACGTACCTTTACGGAGCATTTACGGCAGATCGTCTCACCGTAGCTGTCAATTAGATCAAAAGACGTGTTCAAGGGCATTAAAACAAAAAACAAAAATGCTACAACTGTTGATCCTTAGGTTAATAATGTACCTGTGCCTTTGAAAAAATTATTTATAATCCATAATTCCATTTTTATGTAAAAATCGGAGCGGAAAAGTTAGCTGCTAATGGTAGCCACCAGAGTGTATGCAGCCTCCGGTTTTGGTCACGCGTCACTCTCACTCCTTATTTGTTAACGTTTTGGTGTGTATAGAACTTTCCCTCGATTCCATTAGCCGCGTTCACACCAGAGTACTTTTCACCGTACTTTTCGCGTTTAGTTCCGTTAGTACCCCTTATGTCGCGTTCACACCAAAAAGAGCACTTCATCTCGGGAACTTTTACCCCCATTTTTAGTGCCTGCTGAGAGATGGTACTTTCCTGGGGGAAAAAAGTGCCCCAGTTCTGATTGGCTGGGCGAATTGCAAACCACGCCCCGTACAACTCTGAAATGTTTTGTAGAGCCGCCATTTTATTATCCTGGCATTAGCATTATTAGCATTAGCATTCGCCCAGTGCACAAACGCAGAGAGACTAACTTATGGCAACACAAAATAAAACATGGGAGCGGTGGAGATGAGGAGGTGTTGGCGTTCTGGCGATTTACTCGGAAGGCTTCAGTAGAAGCTGCTGGGAGTCCCAGCAGCTTCTACTGAAGCCAGTCCCCAACTCCGGGGACTTCTGGCCGGGGACTCCGGGTGGCAGTATACGCCGTGAAGTTGTTTGCGGCCTGCCAGTAAACCCAAAGCAGAAGAAGACGAAGTGACGTCAGCGGCTCATTTGCGTAATCTTCCCTCAGGGAAAAGTACTCCGGTGTGAACGCGATCTGTACTAAATGCCCTGGGGTAATAAGTGCTGGCGCACTGAGTGCCGGCACTAAATACGGCAAAGTACTTGGTGTGAACGCGCCTATTGGCTCTAGCGGTTATAAAGAGATTTCATTCATCAAAATCGACCAAGGGGGGCCAGAGATAGGTCAAATCCACCCAAATGACCCCAGAAGTGTTTTTTTTTGGCTAAATCTCTTTAAAAAGGTCAAATTTCACTTGTTTTGCATCAATCTTGGTACAGGGTACTTATATGTTGTACTTTGGATTCCTAAAGCTTTTAGTCTACTAACCCATCATCCAAGGGTAGTTTTCACTATAAGTAAAAAATAATTTTTGGACGGACACTATAATTTATAGTTTTTTACTATGTAAAATCTGAATTTTCTTTAAAATAAAAAACATCTATATTGATTCTGACTTTTCTACATCCAACTCACAGGTTTATCATTACTTTGAGAATAAAGATTATTAATTTAACTCTTTTAGAAGGGAAGATATGGTCATTTGTTCTGGGAATGTCATTTTCGAGCCTGAGACCTGAAAAACAGGCTCAGGGCTTAAGGGGACCTATCATGCAAAATGCACTTTTGTACGTCTTTTATACATGAATATGTGTCCCCGGTGTTCCAGGGAACTCACCAAGTGTCAGAAAACACAACCCTCTCTATTTTCCTCCATACCCAAATTTCTAAAAAAGGGGCTGCAACGGATCTGATAAAAACTGATCCAGATTTGAACACTGTCCTGACGTCAGGACAGTGGCGCTACGGCTATTGGGCCAACTCCAGCAATCAGGAGGAGACAGCCACGGCCATTGCCGTTCGAAAGCGCTGGAGACGTTGTAGTACATATGCCAGGCCAGTAGATGGTGCTGTTCTCACAGCATCAGCCCTTGCAAAAACAGAGCGAGAAATTGTCAAATTGAGCAAAATGAGGCATGGCTAAAATGCATGATCTGTTTGGTATTTTGAAAAAAAAAAAGTATAAATATGCCTTATATAGGTATGGTGCTACACTATATTATTCAAATATAGCATGATAGGTCCACTTTAAGAGGCTAACTTTTCATTCATACTTTCACTCAGAAACCTCATTCCAACTTTAAAATCTTACACATCTTTCTGACATTATTCGTGTAACACAACTTTTAAATCTGATTCTTACTTTTAGAGATATTAAACATTGTTCAGACCTTGTTAAAGATGTTTTCTTCAGATTTTAACATTAACTAGAGTGCGTGATGTCACAGCTAGAGGGTAGGAAATCTTGAAATGTGCCTTAATTTTTCTTTTTAAAACTGCCATAATTTCCAAACCTTATATTCCTGAGACATAATTTTTCATGACAAACATAGGAAAACATCTCGTAGCTTGAAAAAGGACAAATAATTAAGCAAAAATAATTAAACAAAATGCCTCTTGAGGGCATGAAGTGACAACAACTTTCAACATGTCTCCATTAACACCCATTGTAATTTCAGGCTGATATTTCCTCACAGCAGCAGCCGCACACCTTTAGTTAAACTGCCAAAAAGGCCACATTATTAACCCGAAGGTACACAAAGATTACACTTCAGATACTCAACTTCCTTGACATGCTTCACGTTTTGAAATTTCACAGATATCTGTTATCGTTCTTCCACAAAACGTTCACATGTAAGAGGTTCATCTCTCATTCAGAACAATGAAACTTTGAAGTCTAGGCACCTCGTTAGCTCAACTATAAACACCTGTGCAATGGAACACGATGATGTCATCACTCCAACTGACAGCAGTCAGTTCTAACTGTTCATTTCATACTCACACACACACACTCTCTCTCAATTCAATTCAATTAAATTCAATAAGCTTTATTGGCATGAATGTCAGGTGAACAATATTGCCAAAGCGTCAAGGATAATACAATTCAATAAAATTGATAAAAATACAAATACAATTCATTCATTAAACAATTTACAACAATATATTATTACAAAACCTCAAGTATCAAATGTAAAAAGAAAGAAAGAAAAGAGACCCATGAAGTAGAGGAGTAATCAGAGTGAGCTGTGAGGAACAGCTGTTATGTGTTGTTGCTGTCTCTTAGGCTGTGACATGCGCTCACATATTTCGCTGCTTCTATGCTGCTGGCACTATTTTCTCCAAGTACATGTTGCATTTTATTCTGGTCAGACAGTGATTCAAAATCTTGGAGTTTACATGTTATCTTTGTAAAGAACTTTGTTCTAATGTCTTCGTATGTTTGACAGTGCAGCAGGAAGTGTTGCTCTGTCTCCACCTGTCTCTGTGGACAGAGCTGACACAGCCTCTCTTCTCTAGGCAGCCAGGTCTGCCTGTGTCGGCCAGTCTCTACGGCCAGGCTGTGGTCACTGAGTCTGTACATTGTTAATGTCTTCCTCAGTTTGGGATCAGTCACGGCGGTCAGATAGTTTGCCACCGTGTACTGTCTGTTTAGAGCCAAATAGCATTGAAGTTTGTTTTGGGTTTGCGTGGTACATGTCCAATAGTTGATGTAATTTTCTTTTGCTTTAGCTATGATTTGGTTGGGCCAGATTGTGTGAGGGCTATCCTGAGGCCTTGTCCTGTTAGAGGAGGTGAGCCTCAGCACCAGCTGGTTGAGGGGACTCCTCTCTATGTTCTCCTCTTGGCAATGGAGGGCTTTGTAATGGTAGGAGTTGGGATCACTGGTTTTTAGGTGGTTGTAGAATTTGACTGCTCTTTTTTGTATCCTAATTAAAAGGGGGAATTGGCCTAGCTCAGCTCGGCATCCATTGTTGGGGGTGTTCCTGTGGACTCTCAGGATGCTCTTGCATATCTCCGCATGTAGGGTTTCTATTGGGTGTTTGTCCCATTTATCAAAGTCTTGATTTCCAAGAGGACCCCACACTTCGCTACCATACAGTATGATTGGTTCTATTATTGAATTGAATATTTTGAGCCAGATTCTAACAGGTATATTTGAAGACTTTTTGATAGCATAGAAAGCCTTTCTTCCTTTGTCTCTGAGATCATTAATGGCCAGATTGAAATTTCCTGTTGAAGTAATTTTGAGTCCCAAATATGTGTAGCTGTGTG